GTCTTCCTTGCCTCATCATGGTTCCCATGTGACTGTGAGATACCAAGGTACTTGTAGCTGGTCTGTATGTCTGCTATGTGGCCTTACTGGTAGTTCCACCATATCAGACTTAACTACCTTCCCTCTCTTTACTACCATCCAGCCATACTTCTCCAGTCCAAATGACACCTCAGTGTCCTCACTGTAGTTTTGTGTTAGGTGGATCAGTGAGTAAATGTCTCATTCACTCTTACCATACAAGCTTGATGTCATCCATGTAGAGGAGGTAGCTGATGGTAGTTCCACTCTTGAACTTGTATCCGTATCCAGTCCTTGTGATTATCTGGCTGAGGGGGTTCAAGCCTATTCAGAACAGCCATGGGGACAGTGCATTACCTTGGTATATGCCATACTTGATGGCCACTTGTGCGAGCTGTCTGTAACTCTGTTGCTGCACTGCAGTTGGGAGTACACCTTGGATGGTTCTTTGGAGAATGGTGCATTTATCTTCTTGGCCTCTGTTTCTCTAGTGTATCTCCTTAGTCTAGTAGCCAGTGCTGTGAGCCTTTGTTCAGCAGTCTCTGGGGCTTCGGATGGAGTCAGGCACCTTGTATTTTTTCAGCAGCCAAGTCTTATCCTTAATCTCCACACCCTTCTATAGTTCCACCAGCTGACTAACTTCTCTCCAAGTTACCTTGATCTTAGCCTCCAACCTCATTTTCCAGGGGGCTATGTACTGTTGTTCTTCTTGCTCATGTAGCCAAGCATCTCCCGGATTACAGTGACTGTAGCTCATTGGTTTGAGTTATGGTGGTAGTAGTGAGGGCTCTGTTGGCATCTTCTAGCATACTATCTGATGGTATTTCTCCACTGAGCCTTGGTAATTGGTCTCGAGGATTGACTGTAGCTAATATATCCATGATTTTATGCCTCATATCAGCTGCTGTGTACTATAATGGGGGAGGGGGGGTTGGCAGTGATGTTCCAGCTTCAGGTGTTAGCTACACATCCAATTGTTCTTCTGGGTCTTCTTGAGTCAGGTATGGGATGTAATGTGTAGTTGGTCTATCTCAAATTATGAGAGCAGCTTCCTCTTTACTATGTTGAAACATTGAGTAACTAGCTGTTTCTCAGTCAGTGTGGATGTAGGTCTTCTGTCCATATATGGTTTGTTATATACTTATATCATACACATATATACATACATATACATAACTATACCCACACACAAATACATGCACACACAGAGACACACTCACTCACTCTTGACTTTTCCTCCTGCCTTTCTGAGCCAATACATACTTGGCCTGCCTCTTGATAGCCTTGGGAAGCAGCTGGGATGCATTTTCATGATGCATCTCTCTAACTGGAAAGTTAGAGAGTTGTGAGATCAGCTTCCTCTTCACTATATTGAAGTGTTGGGTAACTAACTGTTCCTCAGTTAGTGGGGATGTAAGTCTTCTGTTGATCCATAGTTCCCTCATGTGTTTCACATATCCCCTCTCATTAGATCTACTTCTGTAACAGCATTCCATCAGTTCCAGGTTCTCGTCTCGTACATGTAGGTTTGTTCCAGTAGCTGACTTATCATCAAATTGTTCCCCAACATCTGGCATGAACCTTGTTAAGCTGGGCAACATCCAAGCAAGAATGACTCTCTTAATTCGTGTCATCTCATATCCAAGGTAGGCAGGTGAAGTGTTAGGGGGTCTTTGCCCAAGGATACTGGTAAGATAGGTACCAGCTGGGATTTCAACCCCCGGGTCCCACACAAAAGGGCAGCACTCTAAACACTACGCTATCCAGTCTCTCTCTCTCTCTCTCTCTCTCTCTCTCTATATATATATATATATATATATATAAAATTTTTATTGAAGAATTTGTACAGAATTAAAAACTACAAAAACATAAAGGGAAAATTAGAAAAGAGAAAAAGATATGAAAAAGTAGAAGAAAAAGTGAAAAACAGTATCAAAGAAAAATTAAAAAACAGAAAGAAAAAGAAAAATATTTAAAGAAGCAACTTCCAATCTTCTTTGCAATTAGAAACCACTATGTACAACTGGAATAAAGGAATTGTGCACACAGACATGTATACACACCCCAGTAAGGAGGCAAGCAAAAAAGTAATTTTGTAGATCTGCTGGTATTGTATTTAATTTTAATTAATTGTGGTTTCGTGCTTTTAAGGTTCTTTTCATTTTTGAAATGTTAACTGATATTGTCAGATGTGTCACATTATATATTGCATTGCTTTATAAGCCATAAGGATGGGGTGGATATAGATTTGGCAATACAATAAATGATCAATAGTAATATGAATGTAAAAAAGGAGAACTGTTCATCTCTTCCTCAAACTGTCAGTGGTGAAATCTAAAGCATAGGAAAGTAGTATTTCTGTTTAAGGAATATTAGGTGGAGACTAGATTGAGATTTATTAGGGATGGTTGAATTTGGATTCCTGCACTTAAAGGCCTACATTAATGCTTCCAACTCCATGGTTCTATGAAGCTTCATTAGCACATTTCTTCAACTATCACTGCTAAAACATGTTTAAGTAAAGATCTCAGTCTCTTTGCCACTCGAATTATTGACAGGCAACCTCTAGAAATCTATTTGCTGAATGCCCAGGACACCAGCAATAGGTCATCTGGCACCTTATCAGCCGCAAGAAAAAAAGACTTTTCTTCTTACACAGCAAGTTGAGAAAATAGTGATGCCTCCAAGAAAGAAAGTTCCTAAGAGACAACTTGAGGTGTTTCAACATTTGCACAAAGAACTTGCAGTTGTTTTAATTATTGTTTTAATCTGTTTCAAAGACAAAGGGAGAACAGTTTTTTGATACTAGGGAGGATTGAAGTGGTCCAACTCTACCAAACCTGAGCATCAATGATGCAGTCACTGCCTCTTGAAATTATTAACGATGGGGTGATATAGGGGATGGAGATTCAAATGATGTGCTAGTCTGTAGCAATATGAAAATCTTTTGGGGGGGTCATGGTTGGATCACTGAAAACAAGCATTTGCAGTGAGGGGTTGAGGTTTTTGAGAAAAATATCTGAAAATATATATCTCCCCAAAATATTCCACTAACTTTGACCATCAAAGGTGTTCATGAGGGTGACGATAAAGTTAAGATGGTGGCCACAACCATGCAATTGAAGCTTTACCCTTTTTTTATGTGCATTGATGTCACTCCTGTGGACATCCCTGTTGACCATGCAGAACAATGGGTAATTTATTTCAATGAATATATCTTAGAGTTATAGGTCCAATTTGGAGTTTTAATAAAGAGAGGAGAAAAGGGAGAAAGAAATTTAAGAATTGAAAGGAAATTAGGGAAACTGAATTGCAACAGTGAAGTTAGCGATGAAAATTTGTGAGCTGTTGTGAGCCGCCCAGAGTCACATATGTGAGATAGGCAGCTATATAAATTGAATAAATAAATAAACATTTCCCTCTGGGAACCTGGAGCTGTTTGCCTATAGGTATACTGGAGTCCATTGGAGTTGGGCAGCCAATAAATTTAAATAATAATCATAATATAATATGCGCCATCACTATGCTGTTTGCATGTCTGAAAATAAAGCAAATACTTTAAAGACTGTATAAGTTTCCAGTGCCCATTCATCCAAAAGAAAGTAAACCATTAATTTACATATTTGGGAGGAAAAAATCAGACTGATTTCTGCGTGAAACGTCTTTCTTGGCATGGGTATTCAAGATTTGCTGCTTTTATCAAAATAACTAGTGTTGTGCCATTGCATCACAAGCTCTACTCATGTTGTACATATGTGCAAGTCACATCACTTGTACACTGCAATGGTGCGGCAACTGTATCATTTTACCTCTCCCCCTTGTTCCCCCCACAGACACTGCTGTGTCTCAGTTTTAATCTTAACAGGTCTATGAACAGTTATTTTCATAGGTCATTTGCAACAGCTACTGAGATTATGTAGCTGAGCGCTTTAAAAATATAATAGCAATGCTGCATACTCCTACAACTGCTACTGTACAGAAACTGGTAACATTCCAGGTAGAAACGTAGGCCTCTAGATCCCCTTTGTGAGAGAAATGTCTCTTTTCAAAGAGCATCCATATCCTCAAATATAATTCCTTCTTTCTTTTATCTGACAGATCCCTGTCGCAAATATCGCCATACTACCATTTTCAGCCTCAGGAAAGAAAAAAAAAACATTAGTTGCCACACATAGAAGGAAAATTCTAGGCAGAATGTGATTTGGCTTATTTTTTGTAAGCAAAAGCAGGGATGGGAATAGTCTAAATTAAGCTGCTTGATTAGAAAAATTAATCTTGTCACTTAGTGTCCCTGTTCCAGAGAACAGGGCCTTTGATTAGCCTTCTTGTTTCAGAATATTACAAGCAGAAGGCAATTTTCCAAACAAGGATGGGAAAGAGTGAATGAGAAGAGGACAAGGCCAGTCAGCTAATTCAAAACCCAAGACATTTGGGAGGTGACACAAACTATCCCTATGAATGAAAAGCTATCAGTGAACAAAGCCAACAGAAATTACAGGTAGTTCTTGTTTACCAACTGCCTCATTTAGCAACTGTTCACAGTTATGACAGTGATGAAAAAGTAACCATGCGACCTTTGCAGGTCTGTAAAGCAAAAGAAAGCTGAAGTAAGATCATAAGCACAGTTGAAGTTTTACTTAGTGACTGCTTCACTTAATGACCAAATTGCCAGTCCCAATTGTGGTTGCTAAACAAGGACTACCTGTAAATGTTTTCCACCCTACTTTAACATTTATGCAGCAAAGGCATAAGTCCTGGACACCTGAATCTGTGAATCCTGAAAGGGTGCAGGACAGAAATAGACAATCTACTGCTGATCTAGAACACACTGAGTTCTCCACTTCTTACATGTGGAAACAGCCATGTATCCTGATCCATTTCTTATACACATGAATATGTATATATGCTTGTGACATCTGAATTACCATTGTGTGGAGAAAGTTATTTGCTTTCAAATGAGCAGATAACTTCCCCAAAAATGCAAACCTAAGGAATGGATACATTTAAGAATTTAAAATGTTCTGTGAGGGAAAGGGAACATGCCACCTCTTTAGATGTTAATACAAAGTTCTACTGCTAGAAAGCTTATTTTCTTATACCTGTCAAAACAAGTTATAATCTTCAAGTATTTTTAAAACAAGTTAGAAATATGAATGCTAATTTATTTTTCTGATTATAGATTGCATTTTTACTGAAAATTGTGCTTTGTGTTGTGATTTTAAATTGCTTATTGTCAAACATTTGTCATCATGTTAAACATTTCTGTTTCTTTAAAATTAGAAAAATTAGACAGTTGAGGCTTTGGGGATAGATATCCAATGAGTAATACTCTGCATCATTTGATTTTTGTTATTTCCATAAATTCTTGAGCAGATCTGAGTCTATAAGAGAATGATGGTGAACAGGGCTAGTATATGCACATTTTTTTTTATGAACGTACATATGCTCCTTCATTTCTTCGACTTTGCAGAATTGTCAAATCATGAAATATATTACTACCAGGTATACACAATGATCATTCCATGCTGGTTACCTAAGCTTAGTATATTTTCTGTTCCAGTGCCTTCTGTCCAGCCAAGTTATAAAAAGTAATCACTAAGCAATGAGATATGGGATTTATTGCCACTGTCTAAGAAAAGAGCCCTGGGACCTCTAATGCCTACTAGCACTCCTTTAAAACCTTTGGAGCTCTTCCACAGTTGTTGGGGCCATATATTTGGGGCTCTGTTTGCATTGTGGAGGCCTTGGGGAGCTTGAAGAGACAAAATGACTACCTTAAGTTTCAAGGAACCTAAATCCATTACATCCCTTAAAGTTCATGAAACCCCTTTCAAAAATGGACTCTGCCCCCATTCACTATTGAATTAGGCCACAAAGTCTAGCGTGGCTCTCTAGCTGACGAATGTTGCAGAGCTCAGATCTAAGTTGAGCTTCAAGTTCTAAGTTCTAGGGCCTACGTTGACAGAATAAATAAATATGTCCATGGTCAACAATGCGGGTGATGGTGAGACAAGTGAAAAATACACAGTATATTCACATTCCGTATTGCTGGAATAATTAATTAATTAGAATCTTTTAGAATAAGACCCTCCTAAAATACTATTGAACATCTGAAACCAGGAAAAAAATCTATAAAATATGGATAAAATGTTAACAAACACAATAATAATATTGTGCAAACCAGATAATAACAGATAAAGAAATTCTCTGATATCCAGAAATGATATTTATGGGATGTGATTAAGCAGAGGATAGGAAGTCATTTGTTCGGAGTGCCTTAATTTTGATTCATGCAATGAGCAGCAGGGTAGATTGAGTGGCCTAAATTGTTCTTTCTAGTTCTATGCTTCTAAAAGCCTAGGTGAAATCGTAAATCTTTAATGCTTATTTGAAGATCTGTAATGATAGAGGTTATCAATTGGAATAGAATTTGACAAATTCTATTTCTACAAGCAAGCACATAACTACGGCTTCCAGAATTTAGACAGTTTGGTATGCAAAAGTAATATTTTAAATAATCTTGACTTACGCTGTGCATAGCTTTAAAAGCTAACACCAGCACTTTAATATAGAGGTGTCACATGATCTGACAGCCTAGCACTTACCAGTATTTGAATGACCATATTTTGTATTA